CAATCCCCATTAAAGCTCCGCTGTCATATTTTAAAGATCTTGAAAAAATAATACTGCATTTTATATGGAGTCAGAAAAAACCTCGAATAGCCAAGACATTACTCAGGAATAAAGCTGATATTGATACAGACTGAACTGTGAACATTCACAGAAAAATTTGTCTTATTCACCTATTGAATATCCTTGAAAGTGGATTTTGTACAAAAGAATCTTATAAGACACCAATTTACACCTATCAAGAAATTATAGGCTTGACGTCCGTAGCTCAGTAGTTAAGGTGCCAGCCACATATATTGGGGTTGGTGGGTTCGAACTGGCCTGGGCCTGCTAAACAATAATGACAACTACAACAAAAAAAACAGCTGGTCGTTGTGGCAGGTGCCTGTAGTCCCAGCTACTTGGGAGGCTGAGGCAGGAGAGTTGCATAAGCCCAAGAGTTTGAGGTTGCTGTGAGCTGTGAGGCCACAGCACTCTATCAAGGGCAATATAGTGAGACTCTGTCTCAAAAATAAATAAATAAATAAAAAGACCAACTGTAGCCATATTATGTGAAAGTAAATCTTTAAACTCAAGAAAATAATTTAATTCTAATCAAGTGGCCATAAGTTTTGACTGCTGCTCTAGCAGTACTGTTTTAATTAAGATCTCCTTAAAAGCATTAAAAACAATTGAAAAGTTTCTTTGCAAAATAAAAAGGATAAATCATTCTTATGTCAGGGAATTTTAAAGTCATAATTAAGATTGTTTCCTCAAACTGAAAAGTTTGAGAGTCTTTGTTTCCTTTAAATTATTACAAGTAAAATAAGTATGATCCATTCCAATTTAATTCTTCAAATGAAAGTATCTCTTTTTATAAAATAAAAACTTATTTCATAATTATTTTTTAAGACTTAAAAGCATTTAGATAAACTACCAAAATCACTTGCAAAAGAAAAATGAAATTACCTTCATTTTTTAGTTATAAAGAAATAACCAGACATCTGTATTGTTTGGCTCTTGGTATTTTTCTCCCTACTTAATGGAAGCAAAGCGTTACTGCCCTTCAGTGAGTGATGCCCCGTAGTACAAACCCACTTTACAATAACATAAAAGGAAGAAGAAATAATATGTGAATGTAAACATAATTCTTTTCATCAAGACATAAATGTTTAGGGCAGTGGTTCTCAACCTTCCTAATGCCCTTTAGGGCTCTTTAATACAGTTCCTATGGGTTGCAACCCACAGGTTGAGAACTGCTGGCTTAGAGAATATTAAATATTTTGTCCCTTAAAAAATGTTTTTACTTAAAAATAATCTTTTATATTTACTTAGTCTCAAAGTTACAAATTCATGTTAGTTATGAAAGGAACCACAGTAAATATATAGAAGAAAACAGCGCTTTAACCAAAATTTAAATTGATATCACCCAGAAAAGGCTAATAGACTTCAGGTGCTTCTGATGTTATATCCTGACGAGAGCATACTACTAATTATATTGTATTCTGCCCCCAAAGAATAAGCTCACGAGGAAAGAGCAAACAAATACAAGTTACGGGACATTCACCAAGATTACTAGCCTGTATTCTTCAGAAATACCAATGTCATGTAAGAAAAAGCCTGATGAACTAAGTTTAAAGTGACTGCAGAGATTGACAATCAAATGCAAAACATAATCCGGAACTGGGTTTGACACTAGAGAAACAACAGTTGCAATCAGGGACATTATTTGGATAACTGACAAAATAAAAATTATACTTATTATATAATATAATGATAGTTAAGATGAAATTATTGTATAAATTTAAATTCCTTAACTTGATAACTGAACTGTGGTTAAGTAAGAGAAGATCTTTTTTCTTTAGAAAGACACACTGAAGCTTTAAGGCACACAGGGAAGAGGTATGATATATGCAACCTCTTAGTGCTTTAAAATAACGTACTTACGGTGGGGAAAGGGAGAGAATAAGGCAAATGTGGCAAAGTGTTGAAAATTGGTGAATTCAGGAAAGGTCATATGGGAATTCTTTGCACTATCCTTATTATATTTCTGACAGTTTAAAATTATTTTAAAATAAAAATTAAAAAAATCATCCTTCCAGATTAAATATTAATGTGGCTCACAATACAGTTTCCTTCATAAAAAGAAAAAATCTTCCCACAAAAAACAAGTTGTTATACTAAACTGCGTCTATTGGTATTGTGGTAAAACCTGGTAACAGTTCACGTACCATGACTGAACTTCAAGTAGCAGTGGTCTAAAATACTGTCGTTTTTTTGCTACCCATCACTTAGTAACTAACTACTCTACAAATTATGCATACGTATACATTTAAAAGACACATACATTTAGAAGAATATATACCAAGTTATAACCAATTAACTCTGGGTCACACAATTGAAGGTGATTTTTATTTTCTTCTTTTATTTTCTAATGTTACTGTAATGAACATATACTTTTATAAGAAAAACAAAAGTAATCTTTTAAGAAGGGCTAAGTGAAAAAGAATTTAATAGCACTGTCAGATTTCTTGGAATTTGTATAGAATGTCAAAATACATCATTTTGTTTCAATGTTTACAAACTACTTAAATTTTGTAAAAGGATCTTACTTACAGCTGATCTTGAAGCTCCACAATTATATATTCTAATTGTTCCTTCTCCAATTTGTGGGCCAGATCAGAATCTTCAATCCTTTGTAGTAGTATTTTATTCTGAGAGACGGATTCAGATAGCTGGTTCTCTCGAAGTCGTAAGAGTTCTTCAAGATAACCCTGGAAATACAATATCACCAAGATACAGCAATTGAAACTTTTTAATATATACGTTGATGATAAACCCTGAGATTAAATGTTATTACCAGCCATATTGCAATGAAATAATTTCAATATATTACTGATTAGTAGGAAAAAATTGTTTTATCTGAATTGAAAATTTTAATACACATTCTACATTTCTTTTTTTTTTTTTTAAGAGACAGGGTCTTACTTTATCACCCTCGGTAGAGTGCCGTAGTGTCACAGCTCACAGCAACCTCCAACTCCTGGGCTTAGGGGATTCTTCACATTCTACATTATTTAAATCTTTTCTTTAATGTTGAGGAAATACATTTGTAATTTGACACAAAATTTAGTTAAAATATTATGATTTCTAAGTTCCACAACATTAATAAATATATGATTCCTACCTTCAAAATAAAAGACTTAATTACAAAATAGTCAATTAGAACTCTGCTTTGATGTTATTTTTCAAAAACATATTGATATTAATATTTTAGAGTTAACACATTAGGGTGAGGCAGTATAATGCTTTGGTTAGGCCTGCAGGCTTAGAGACCACCTAGTGTCATATACCATACTACTTCTCAGCTATGTATCTTTGGGTGAGTTCATCTCTCTCTGTGCCATGGTTTCATTATCTAAAAAAATGGGAACAATAAGAGTGCCTAGTTGGAAGAATTAAATGAGCCAATATAGAACAGTGTAAGTCCAGTGTCTGAAATGAATAATAGCTTTTACTATTAACAAATATCTAATAGATATGTGACTTCTTGGATTGATCTCTTATCCTTTTACTTATTTGCTATGTCTTTGTCCTTCCCTACTTTCTGGGAAACCTTAACAAACCCTGAAAACCTTTATGTGGTATTTTTTAATTCAGAAAATCATATATTTAATTTCAACAGTTCTTTCATATTTCCTGATTATTCCTTTCATATGGTATCCTATTCTTTTAGTTGTCATATACTTTCAGATTCTTCTAAGGATAGTAGTTAAAATAGGGTTTTTTCTGTTGTTGTTGTTTTTGCAGTTTTTTGGCCAGGGCTGGGTTTGAACCTGCCACCTCCAACATATGGGGCCGGTGCCCTACTCTTTTGAGCCACAGGTGCTGCCCTTTAAAACAGTTTTTAAATACTTTTTTATCCCACTACATATTATCCTATTCATGTGTCACCAACAAACTGTTATAGCTATTTTAGCTTGATAATACATGTTAATACTATCATCTTTTCTCAAGAGCTTCTTTTGTAGATTTTTTTCCCTGACAATTCTCAAACATTTGTTTTTATATTATTAAATCTCAAAAATTGTTAATTTTTACAAATGAAATATTTCATATATAAACCACTCAATATAAACTATATATGAATACTTATAAATATTAGTAGTTAAATAATACTCATATACCTACCACCTAGATTGATCACCAACACTTTAGGAGCCATTACAATGCCTTTCCTTATCACACCCTCTGCCTCCTCTGCAAAGGTAAAAATATCCTGAGATTTGTGTTTATCATCCCTGTGCATTTCTTCCTGGTTTTACCACAAATGAATATCAGCTTCAACAATATGTTGTTTCGTTTTACTGGTTTTTCCCTCTATTCTTTTGAAACTTGATGTTTCATCTACACTGATGAGACTAGAGTCCATTTGCTCCCAATGCTGCACAGTACTCCACTGCATGAATGCTGCAGCTTGTTCACTCTCCTGTCAGTGGCATTTGGATTATTTTTGTTTTTTCTTAACATAAACAATATTGCTATGAACACATGCAGTTATATATTCTGGTATACACATCCAAGAATCAGATTCTAGGAGGCAGGCCTAGCAGACTTTCAGAGTATAAAGGCCGTGTATATTTTGATATTTAGTAGATATTACCAATTATTCTTAATATTGTTTTAATGTTTTTTATACTTACCATATTCCTACCTGATATTATGTTCATATGACCTTTCATAAGGATCTTATTTATATGGATTCACTAAATTAATTTAAAAATATTCCTTCTTTTTCTTTCCTCAAGAACAGTTATTATAAGATTAGGGATCACTGACTGCCTTTGAATACAGTCAAGCATCACTTAACAAGAGGTATACGTTCTGAGAAATACATCATTAGGCAATTTCATCACTGTGTGAACATCATGCTTATGGTACAGCGTACTACAACATAGGTTATGTGGTATAGCGGATTTCTCCTAGGCTACAAAGCTGTTACGTTACTGCACTGAATGTTGTAGGCACCTGTAACATAGTGGCAAATATTTGTATATCTAAACATATCAAAACATAGAAAAGGCATAGTATAAATATAGTATACACCTGTGTAGGGCACTTACCATGAATGGACGTTGCAGGACTAACAGTTGCTGTGGGTGAGTCAGCGAGTGAGTGAATGTGAAGCCCTCCAAGGACATCACTGCGCACTTTCACACTTTATAAACATGTATACTTAAGCTACACTAAATTTTTTTTTTTTTTTGAGACAGTCTCACTTTGTTACCCTTGGTAGAGTGCTGTGGTGTCACAGCTCACAGTGCAACCTCCAGCTCTTGGGCTTAGGTGATTCTCCTGCCTCACCCTCCAAGTAGCTGGGACTACAGGCACCCACCACAACGCCTGGCTATTTTTTGTTGCAGTTTGGCCGGGGCCGGGTTTGATCCACCACCCTTGGTATATGGGGCCGGTGCCCTATCCACTGAGCCACAGGCACAGCCCAGGCTACACTAAATTTATATATATATAAAAACTTTATTAATAAATTAACCTTAGCTTGGAGATAGTAGATAGTTGGGTTGTATTTTTTTTCCATGCTGTGCCAAGAAATATATTAAACTTGTAGAAAGTGTCGTAGACCGAAGGTAAAGGGGTGAAAAAATATTCCACACAAATGAAAACAAAATCAAGAAGGAGTAGCTATTCTGATAAAACACCATCAAAAAAGACAAAGATGGTCATTATATAATGATAGGGGATAAATTCAACAAACAGATGGAATAATTATAAATATATATGCATCCAGACAGATCACTGAGGCACAAAATCAACATAGAAACACCAGATTTAAACAGGGTTCCAAAGCAAGTGGACCTAACAGACATTTGCAGAATATTTTACCCCCAAACTGCAGAATATACATTCTCATGAGCACATGAAACATTTTCCAAGATAGTTCCTAATATTATGCTACAGAAGAAGACTCAGCAAATAAAAAAAATTAAAAACATACCATGTATCTTCTCATACCACAGTAGACTAAAACTAGAAATCAACTCCAAATGAACTGTCAAAATTATGCTAATGCATGAAAATTAAGCAACCTGCTGCTGAACATTCTTCACATGAATGATAAAATCAATACGGAAATAAACTTTTTTAAATTGAGTGACACTGACAACACAAGTGTTCAAATCTCTGAGATACAGAAATCCAGGATGGCGGACAGGAAAAATGTTTAGCTCAGCTCTCCTGAAACAACAGGTGAGAGTGAGTGGACTAGATCATTTCCAGCATGGATTATTGGTGTAGAGTGGCAGCTCAGGGGTGCAGCGAGGTGGCAGATTGCTGGACTTGGAATGTAATCTGGAGCTGTGGAGACAGTCAGGAAATGTTTTGTGTTGTGGCTGCGGCAGCGACAGCAGCAACCAGCCCCACCACAGAGGATTGCAGTTCCCAGTTTGTGGGGAAACTAGGTATTGGGTGGAAAGATTGGTGAAGTGCGGACTCCCAGGCAGAATTAGGCAGCCAAAGTGGGGTGCCATCTGGTGCAACACCACCAAGGTTAAGCAGTGGGAGAGACACTCAGATGGGAAAGATCCCGGATAGGAAGTGGCCATTGTTTTGGAATTTGGGAGATAGAAGTTGCAGCAGGCACCTTTCCATGCAGGCCAAGAGTAGCAATTTGAATCTCACCCACAGACAGTCGTTCTACACTTGGACAGGCCCAGGATATCCTGCACTTCATGGGAACTGTTGCACTGAGAATCTGAGAAACCTACCTATGAAGATTTTTTGAGATTGGAGGAATCGGCATTTTGGCAGGGTCTAGGAGCCAAGCAGGTAATCAGGCAAACACCAAGAACAATCTAAGCAGGAAAACAGGTATAAGCCTGGGAACCACTCACAGCACACCTGGTGTCCAGAAAGTATATTGCAACATAAATATATTCTTACTAAAGTCGAATCCTATGGCATATACATAGACATGTTTATATATATATAAAAATATATATATATAATTTATAAATAATAAATTTTATTATAAATTAAACTTTATTAATTTATTACAAATTAAAATTTTATTATAAAGTATAAAAATAATTATTTAATTATATAAATAATTTTGTTGCCTTCTTCTCTTTGCTCATTCTTTTTTTTTTTCCATTTTTCTTTCTTATAGGAGTGTTAAATTTTTTAATTATTATCATTTTTTTCTCTGCTTCTCTCTTTTTTTTTTTTTTAGACAGTTTCACTTTGTCACCCTTGGTGGAGTGCTGTGGCATCTCAGCTCACAGCAACCTCTAACTCTCTTGGGCTGAGTGGTTCTCTTGCCTTAGCCTCTCAGGTGGATGGAGCTGTAGGCGCCCACAGTACCTGGCTATTTTTTGGTTGTGGTTGTCATTGTTGTTTGGAAGGCCCTGGGCTGGGTTTGAGCCCTCCAGCTCTGATGTATGTGGCTGGGGCCTTGGCCACTGGGCTATGAGTGCCAAGCCCTCCCCTTCCTTTTATGGTTGCTAACAGTGTTTACATCAGACTATTCGAGTTTTTTTCTTTGGTTGGTTTTTGTTTTTGATTGTGTGTTTGTGTGTTTTTTTGTTTGTTTGTCTGTGTTATTTCAATGTGCCTTGTGTTCTGCTAAATCCTAGGGTTGGCTATTTTCCCTAACTCCAATTTTTACATTAAACAAGAGCAAAGGGGAGGGGGGTATGATAGCCAACTGAAGCCAGCTTTCAACAGAAGCTCCTGTCCAGGGCGTGACATAACCACCAGA